ATTTCATACTTCATTTGAATGAGTGTAAGCAAATTTTTTCATGACATGGGTACAATGCTAGTATAAGTAAGGGGCAAGAGTGTTTTTCACGTTGAATAAAATAAAATGGGAAAAAGGACAGATCTTTCACTATTTGATAAAGGGCTTATTGTTGGTGCCCGTTTAACAAGGGCATCGATTTCGAAGACGGCTAATCTCACAGGGTTCTCAAAAGCAGACACAGGCTTTCAAGTTGGAATCAGTACCTTCTCTAGAAATAATGCGGTTCATGCACAGCTCTCTGAGAATGATCGGCGTAATCTCCGACGGATTGTACGGCAGAATGAGACTCTACTGTGCTTCAACTGATACAGATCGTCAACCAAGGTTCTTCCCAACAAATTTCAACTTGAACCATGCGCAGAGAGGTCGGGTGCCCATGAGAAAACCATTCATTTTTGCCCGACATACAAGAATTCTTTTGCAGTGGTATCAATAAAGGCACTATACATCTGAGGATTGGAGACGGTTAAAGTGGTTGGGTGAATCAGACTACACTATTTAGCTCTGATGAAGACACTGAATTTGGCAAGAATCAATCTTGCCTTACTCGCACTGTGCAAGGGTCTGGTGGGAGTATCATGATATGGGGCATGTTCTGGTAGCATGGAAGTGGGGCCCTGGTGTTACTAGAAGGTAAACAGCTATGAGATACCTAGATAAACTGGCAGATCAAGCACACCCTGCTATGTTGAATTTTTACATTGATGGCGGCGGATACTTCAAACTGCATAGCCAATGCATGGTGTTCTGTTGACGTTTCTACACCCTCAAAAACAGACAGCTATAAAATTAAGTGGTATATTTCCATAGATGTAACAAAAACATATAAACGTCTACTTACCAAAGGCAAATACTTTTTTAGGACTCACTGGGTTAATTATAAAAAATATACTTTCTAAGACTTTTGTATAAAGGTATTTTCCATTCTAGAAATAAATTGCGTACGTAACAACATATTTAGTAATTCTATATCTTATTTTGCATTTGAGATTTATAACATCTATTTGACAATTTTTAGGACTTGCACTTTATACTTAATTACGATAACAAATATGTTATTACAAGAAAATATTGTATCTGAAAAAAATTTAGGTTTACATGTTTTCAATTAAAAAAAAAAAAGTCATATACAGTAAAGTCCGTAATCCGGACTTCGGCGATTCCGGATTATAGATCATAAATTTACATCTGGCAAGATGGCATGCAGAAATTGTACTATTAAAAATGTGAAATCGTAATTTATGAAATAAAAACCAATTATGATCTACAGGGTGTCAAATTTTACCAAAAAAATATTTGTTTATTTCATTAAACATGTCTTTCAACGCGCGCATGCGTAAAGTTTGTGGCTTTGAGGTCCGGATTACACGGACTTTGTACTGTACTAAATGGCATTGTGCCCAACAACAGGACATTACACGCCAAACTATGATGTGAAAGTAAAATAAACGTTTTGTTGTGAAAAATCGATTTAAAACTCAAATATAAGAATTATGAAAAAAATTAAAAAAATGTTTTTAATGAATTATAACATGTTCCGTAAATGGAACATTAGCGGGGAAACAGTTTTTTACACGACATTCTAATTTGAAGCTTCATTTTTGTCTGCACTTTTTCAGCATTAGCAAGTGAATTTGTCAACGTTATTCGGAAGTAACATAGATTAAGCAGAAAAATAGGGAGCCTACACCTTTATAACTGCAAAGCTACTCCACCAAAATTTCTTAGAAGATATGAAGCTTCCACAGAAAAAAAGCTTTCGTAATAAATTAAAACAAAAATTACATAGTTGATAAGATAGAATTTATAAAAGAATTCAATATTAATTGTTAGCACTCTATACTGAAACAAGGAAAAGAGTTGTAGAAATAAGTAACAAATAATCTCCATACAAAAATTCACACTGCAGGGATGGAAGATGCTGAAGTGTTGAAAGTTTTTTTCCAGTTTTTCATAAAAAGGAGAAACTTTTCCTGTTTTATCTCCTAATGCCAACTTGGTATTATTTATAATATGAAAATATTTTTTCAGTTTTCATTTCTTGGCATTACAGAAGAAACTATTAGGACAGATAAATCTTGAATGCTCCAGTATAAATCTTCACCGGGTACTCCATGATACCCACTAAACAACAGTAATCCAAAAAACTGTCCAATATCGTTTTCATCTACAGCTAAAACTTCTTTCTGCATTGCGTAAAGACCTGTCATATTTGCTAAATGCAGCAAATATTCTCTAGTTAGGAACTTGTGAAAAATCTGAATTGGAGATAAAGTAACTAGTTCAGAAAACATTTCGCAAATATTTTCAATGCTGCCAGTTTTTAGAATTTTGTTAAAATTTAAATTTTTCCCCCACCGATGTTCCTGTTTTTCTCTTTCGCATTTAGTTTTCGCTTCAAATTCTTCCTTCCCTTTGAAGATGAAGGTTCTTGAGGATCGAATAAAATTTCTTGAGATATTTCATCATCTATTTTATCATTTATTCCACATACATCCGCTGACAGAACAGGCTAAAAAATATCTTCATTTACATCTTCCTCATCTATCAAACATCCAGTTTCTTTTGGAGGCAGTTGACAAACATCAATACACTCTTCATCATCTGATAATGTATAAAAATATACAAATGCTTCTTCAATAGACTGAAATGGTTTTGAATGAGCCATCTTATCAGCGTAGCGCATCTTCACGAACTGAAAAAAAATACAAACAATGGGAAAATAATGAAATCCACATTCCAAAATATATGCCCTTTTTCTCCGAGTCATAAACAACCTCTAGCGTCTAGCCTACAAGAAATGCCACATGCTTTTCTCTAGCAGCTGTAACTCACTTCAAACCCTTATGGGAATGTGTGAAAGGTAAGAAGGGGGATATACGAGAGTCGAAAACAGATTTTAACAGTCATAAACATCTATTTTCCACACTTACTGGAACTTTTCACATTTGGAAAATCTTTCTGTCCATGCCTCTATTCATGGCAATCAAAGTAATTTCATCGTGTTAAAAAATATACCTTTACACGCCAATGTTCCCTTTCTGAAACATTCCACATTTCTTACCTCATAGTAAAAAATAATAATCACCTTAATGCCTATGCCCCCCTTTCTGGAACATCCACATTTCTTACCTCATAGTAAAAAATAATAATCATCTTTCTATAACTTACGGTCTATGCATAAAATGATCCCTTTTAAATATCCTCATTGAGTTTAAAACATTTGTTGAATTTAAAATTTTATATGAATTTCTGAATTTTTTTATCAAGATAATTTTTCTTTTAGAATTATATTGCTACTAAAACATCAATCCATATTTACTCTCCATGTAATAATTTATACAAAGCAATATTAATAAAATTGTTTTTTTGTATTATAAAATTTTAAATTTGATGTTCCATTTATGGAACATTGGTGTGTAAAAGGTTAAGAATCATTTTCTTTTTTACTATTATGTATTCTTTAGATGACTAAGATTTCCTATATAAGGTAATTTATAACAAAAATACATCCTACTATAGCAGCATCCTGCAAACTCGACAATCACTTTAATTGGCAAAATCTTCTGTACTAACATCCGCATGTTTTCGCGCTTTAGTCAAATTTGCAACAGATTCTAATTTTGCAATTCTTTTTCTTTAACCTCTGTAATAAATTTGACATCAGGTTTCATTCCTTTGATGGAAATTTTAATCTACCCCATTCCTCTTCGCTGTAATAAAATGGCTCTAGAAAGTCAGATGTCACTGTCGATTACAATACACATTCTTTGCCATCGCTAGCCATAGCAGCCTTTGCCTATGGTTTATGGCTGTACCCTAGAACATAAGCTAAATTTTCAGTTTGTTCTAGGACAATTTCTCAGTTTATATCCAAGCCTACAAGTATGGTATTGTCTATGCAGGTATAATTGCAATGGGCCACCACTGGAGATGTTATGTTTGTTCATATGTGCATCATGAGAACTACTCTTGCCAGCATGTCTAACTTGAGGTGGTCACAACAATAAAATGTCATATACTTCAAATAGTAATAAGCCAGAGGAAAAGATAATTATTTCACTTACGATAAATATTTGACACAAAAAAGACAAAATACAGTAACAGAGTATGTAATCCGGACCTCAAAGCCACAAACTTACCCATGCTTTATAACTGAACAAGAAATTATGTTTGTTTAAAGAATTAAAGAGAAAGTATTAGCACAAAAAACAAAGCAACTTAAACAACTTACATTGAAAGAAATGTTTAACAAAGTAAACAAATAAATATTAAGCTTTTTTTTTTGTAAATTTTGATACCCTTTAGATCATAATTGCTCTTTTATTTCATAAATTACGGTTTCATATTTTTAATTTTATAATTTCTGCATGCCATCTTACCAGATTTAAGTTGATGATCTATAATCCGGAAACGCCAAAGTTCCGATGAGTCCAGATTAGTGTATTATGATGAGCATCTACCTTATAGGGAGATACGAACTATACATAAATCAAAAGCCACATAATGGAATTATGAGACAATCTTATTTATGAATACAAAATAAATTAGTCTATGAAACTGGCATGAATACTGATATAGGAAATGCATTTTACACATGGTTTATTCAGCAGTGCAATTTAAAATAACCAACACATAATAGATTAATTCTTCTGTAGAAGTCTCTTTCTTTGCTAAACTCTTCAACTTTATATGGACTGGCATAAAAAAATAAGCGAGTTTGCTAATACAAACTCTTACACTACTACTCCATAACTTGTTACATTTAGCAATACTCACTACTTGATTCTATTCCTTATTATTATTAGATATTAAGTATAAAACAATTGCCACTTTTTAACCTGTTACCCAAACGCCCCAATTTTAATCTATCATCTGAGTAATGATTACCCAAACTTGCATCTTAAAAGGCTGAAAATGTTTAATAGGTTACTCTACATATAAAAAATTAAACACAATTTCATAGAAAGTCATTTATTCAGCAGTGAACAAAAATTTATTCTGCCTTTTCTGCATCAAGTCTTTTGATAACAGCGGCCTTCTTTTGTTTAATACGATTTCTTCGTTCCTTCAGATTCATTTTAGCTCTGTTCCACCTGTAAATAAAAAGCAGCAGTTGTTATTCAGAAAAAAACAAATATTAAAGATACAGAAATGTATTAAATATTAATCCCTTCTTGGTCGGCATCGCATGCTACTCATACATCGCTTTAAATTACACAACTATTTTTGCATTTCTGAATATTGCTAAGAGACAGCGCGACTAGTCCTAGTTTCTTCACAATTTTTGCAGTGAGCTTTCCCGAATATCTGCAAATCTGTTAGAATTTCAACTAAAAAAACATTAAAGATATTTCTAACATTTATAGCAAATTTCTTTTATAAAGTAAGCAAAAATATATTTTTTTGATTTAATACACGATTTTGTTTCTGTGATAAATGTGGTTTTTATGCTCTGATGTCCAAGGCAGGTTGTAAAGCTGTTTTAATGGTAAGGTTGGAAACTCATTTTCTAAAGCATTTTTATGTAATTTTAATAATTATTTTTATATAGATATTTATATTAAACACATCAAAACAATAGAGTTAATAAATATAGTATCACAAGCTTTAGATTTAAAACTTGGGTGCATTTCAGGGAAAACTGGTGACCAGTGGACAGTATATCACATATTTGACTACTTGTAGGTCCATTAAAAATTGCTTACTGCCAAAAATATTTAGAATTTTCGAATTTAGGGCAGAACATATATTAATTTTCAGCAATAAAAAAAAAAAAATTTTTTTTGGGGGGGGGGGGGGGGGGGGGTTAGAAATTAATTAAAAATTTTTTTGACCAAGAGGGATTAATACAAACTTCTAATGAGAAGGGGGATAGTATAAACTCAGAACTTCTGCATAATTTGAGCTCATTGCTATTGGATATTTATTAGCTTCAGCTTATATGTATGCTATCTGCTAATATTAATTAACAGAAGAGTTCACAGCACAAGCCACCTCTTTAAACTGTACAACTCAAAAGAATTGAAAAAGGTAAAAATATGCAAGCACAGCAAAAGCAATATAAATATTCCCAAACATCTATAAATTTGTATTAATGTGCATATTTATTCATGTAAATGTTACCTAGAATGAACTATTTTAATCAAAAAATTTCAGGGAGAGGAGAAGAATGTGCCTAACACAACTGTGAAGCATGGTCCTAATTGGATAAAAGTCACAGAAAACAAAGCATTCTTTTCCTGAAACTTATCCATCATATTAGTTATTTTTAAAAGTGTACAGACATTTTATATGCCATATAGTCTTTCTTCTCTTTGGTAAGAACATGCTACATACAATGTAACATACTTTTGGGGAATAATAAAGATTTACTTTACATTGTTAGCATCCATAATTATACATTATTATTGTAATAAAGCAACTGAGCAAGATTAGATACTATAAACCACAATGTACATTACAAGAGGGGTGAAGCCATCTAGAGCCAAATAGTTATACTACTAAAGGAAAGGAAACATACTTTAAAATAAGAATAATTAATAGGGCTATTCTATTATTCATAAGTGCTTCGGATTTGAGCAATTCACTCATACAAAAATAACAAAACATATTTTAGAAACAATAAATGCTGTAAACTTCTATACTAGATAGTTGATTGCTCTTTTAAAACATAAGTTGGGAGGTTATAACTAGGCAGGCTTGACAAGTTTCTTCTACTAAAGTGGTTGTAGTGATAAAAACTAATTTTTGAACTTATCCTATTATATCTATCACTTATTCACAAGTATCATAGTTATAGTACTAATATACAGTGGATGGACAAAAATATGGAAACACCTTGTGAAATGCATGTTTGAAAAGAAAGATTGATTTTAATGAAATATGTAGGTGGCGCTGGCATTTTTGACTACTAACGCCACCTATACAACTTTGTAAATGTGCTAAACAGTTCAGTTGTTGTCGGAGTACTGTTATGTGAGGTTGTCATTGCATTACGTCAGAGTTACAGAACGTGGGCAAATTGTTGGAGCACATATGGTAGGTGCTTCCGTAAGCAAGGTAGCCGATGTGTTTAGTGTTTCAAGAGGTACTGTATCGAAGATTTATTCCGCATATTTGAAAAGCGGAAAAACATCATCTGCTAAATCACAACGCGGACGAAAGTGTGTCCTGAGTGATCGTGACGAAAAATAAGAAGACCACAGCTGCAAAAGTTACTACCGAAATGAATGTTGTGTTACCGAACCCTGTGAGTACCAAAACAATTAGAAGGGAGCTTCATAAACAGGGAATTGCTCGCCGTGCTGCAATTGAAAAGCCACTCATCAGTGATGCTAATGCCCATAACAGGAAAAGGTGGTGTTTAAGTCATAAAGCCTGGACTATAGAGCAGTGAAAGCGAGTAATATGGTCAGACGAGTCTTCTTTCACATTGTTTCCCACTTCTGGCCGAGTTTACGTCTGGAGGACGCCATCTCAAGCCTATAATACAGACTGCTTGTTGCCAAGAGTGAAACATGGCGGGGGTTCTGTTATGGTTTGGGCAGCCATATCGTGGTTCTCTGCTAGCCCCATGATAACTGTGTCAGGGCACATGACTGCCAAGACTTATGTGAACATTTTGGATGATCAAGTTCATCCCATGTTACAAACTTTGTTCCCCGATGGTGATGGTGTCTTCCAAGACGACAAAGCCCCTGTTCACACAGCTCACATTGTCCAGGACTGGTTTTCTGAGCACGAGGATGAGTTGTTCCATCTCCCCTGGCCACCACACTTGAATATTATCGAACCTTTGTGGTCTACATTGGAACGGAAAGTGCGTTATCGTTATCCACCGCCAACATCGTTATCTGAACTTGCCACCGTTTTGCAGGAAGAATGGTATAATATTCCCTTGGCAAACATACAGGAACTGTATTTATCCATTCCGAGAACTGCAAGCTGTTTTGGATGCCAACTTCTTTCCTACACCATATTAAGCAAAGAAACATGTTTTTTAAAGGTGTTTCTATATTTTTGTCCAGCCCCTGTATATTAAATTTGTGTATAATTTAACTAGCCTTATTTTTATGCTTAGAATAATCTTTTCTGGTAATATATGTAAGTATGCATTTTGGTGCACTTGCTATGAGATCTCTTTTCATATATGAAAATAAATAGATCGAATAAAATGCAGTAATTATTTTGTAATTTTAAATGGATAAATTCAAATGAAAGTAAAATTTGTTCTTGCTGAAAATTAACATTATGTGAAATTTAAGAGGTGACTGCAAACCATTAGGCATCAGGGTAAGATTTTAGAAATGGTACATTAAACTGCTATATTATTAATATAGCATTATTAATATAGCCTAGACATCTAATTCTTAATACACATAAGCTCAATTCACATGCAACACTCCTTCACACAGACACCATTTGTATTACGGAGAAAAACGGGGATATGAAGCAGTTTCGCATTCAGGACCGGTTCAGATGCAAATTGTTTTCCATACCTTAACCCATAAGCCACTGCGAACAAAGAATGATGTCACAAATGCAAACTGGGTTGAAGGATTTCATTTGCCTACATCTATTTTGACATTGTTTACTACCGCTTAGAATGCCAGAGTTTAATCAATTCAAATACACCTAACTAAATTAAATACTCAATTTATATACAAAACCAAATGGTGAAAAGAAATTATAAATATGCTGCTGAATGGTTTTAATTAAATTTTTTGTGGCTGTTGAAATTTCAAATTTTGTTAATGGCTTTAATTATTTAATATTTTTACCGCTTATTTAAAATTATGTACTTTATAGAAGCAAGGATGGGGTTTTCAAAATATTGAAAAGAAAAATTATTTGAAGTGAAAATGTGATTGAGATAATGCTTGTTTCAAAGTTTTTACATAAAATGTGTTTTATTCTTTTTCTCACACTAATTTATTAATTGCAAAATCGACATTATCAACATAGCATCGCATACTGTAAAAGAAGAATAATTGTATCAATTTACACTCTACATTTTAGAGATTATTTAATTTGCATTTTAGTGCAGAAAAAATAAAAGCATTTACTTTCAAATAAGTTAAACTGTTATTATTTTAACTTTACCTCTTTTAGAAGCATCATTTAATTTCTTTCAGGAAACAAAATGCTGTATTTAATAGCAATATTATTGCAACAGGTCGTATAAAATTATACTAATGTGAAAAAATTACTTTTAAAAATCTGAAAATTATCTGGCCCATACTGATAAAAAAACCTTTTAATTAAACAGTCCGTTGCTTCATAATCACACTCCTGAAAAAATCCCCCCCCAAGGGAAATTTGCTATTATGAATGCAATAACCATAACATAGGACTGCGTGTAGATCTCTACTTTGAAATATATCGTACTAAAAATTAATCACAGATAGCACGTTTGGCTGTCATGTATAATGCCGAAAGTCACCAACACGTAATTAAAAAACCCCCTGCAAAAAAAAAAAAAAAAGACACAAAGTATGTAAATAAAAATATATAAAACATATCCCAAATATATACTCTACAGAAAAACGTTCTTCTTTCCGTTATTTTGTGGACTTAAGGCTTAGGGGGGATCTAGCCCTAAGATTTACGTTATCATTTGCACCTTTCTCCATGAAAGAGTTAATGCATACTTGAGATTTCAATACAATGTGCTACTAACAAATTCACATTGAATGCATAAAAATAAATTTTAATAATTGCACAGTTTTGTAAGAATATTTAGCTTTTATGAAAGACTATTCAGATGGCAAAGCATTGTAATGATTTGGAATATTAGATACACTAAGACAAAAATTACCTCTTCTTGGTTACAGTCTTTTCAGGTTTAGGCAAACGTTCAGGATCAGCTCTGATAGCAGCATGAGCTTTCTTATATAAATCTTCCATCTAAGAAAGATATTACATAAATTACTACTCATTTCTCTATTTTAATGCACAAATATTTATAAAAGATACAATTCAGGAAGTATAAAAATGGCATTAGTTATACTATGGTGAAAACATTACTTTTAAAAACGAAAATCATTTAACCCATGCTGATAAAAATTCTTATTAAAATTTCATCTCCCTCTTCTTACCTTATCTCAAAATTTTTCAACTTACATCATCAGGAGTTATTCCTAGCTTGATATACTGAGAAAATTGCTTCTTATAGGCTTCTTCATCTTCATCCATTAACATTCTCATGTATTCAGCAACATGCTGTCCAAAAATATGTTTTCTATGAATTTCAGCATTGAATTCCTTACTCTCAGCATCATATCCAGGAAATCTCTTATTACTGAAAAAATTGGGAAAGTTAGATTTACAGATGTGAATTTTTCACTCATAAAAGCATCACATTAACTACACAAACATTTTCTTATGTAAAGTACAGCAGCAGTATTTATTATAGATTTAATGATTACAGCAAAATGTAACAAAGATTATCTGCTGAAGAGAAAGGATACTTTTGAAGAAGGTTTTGCACTACAAGTAGCTATGTTATTGTGAATACGTTGCAAGAATGAACATCAAATCCAGAAATATTTCTTACTAGATTTTCAATTGCTTTTTTGAGAAAACTATCATTATGTTGTGGGGCAATATAAAAAATGGAGAAACAAACTAAACACAGCACTGACTGCAGCTACCTAGATTACTACATACTCAAATTCACAAGGCATTCATTGCACCAGAAGACAAAATAATTTTAAAGCATAAAATTTTTAGAAACAGTAACTTTACCTGTCTTGTACAATTTGAAACGACTTTGGTAAAACAGGGTTCGTAGCCAAATTTTAGTTAAAAAAATAAGCACACATGAGCACATTTTAGGAAAAAAATAAGCACCTGTCTAATTACATTATACACAACTGCATCATCTTAAAAGAAAAATTAGACTTGTAATTTAAAATATGAGAAATTTGGTATTAAGAGAGAATGAGCATTACACAACCATGGAAAACAGTTATTCTTTTTTTTTTTTTAAATTTTAAACAACAGTTCAATTCAGAGAACTAGTTTACAATGAGAGAAAAAAAATTACGCAGAACTAAATCATATTACAAGATTTAATGACGAAATTTTTGTTCAAAATAAATATTTATTATATTCGTTTGGCACCTAAAATAAATACAATTTATTTTTCCAATCTTATTAATATTCAAATAACTTAAATCAGAATTCTAAACATTTTCTAAATTTTCATTGTATAACAGTTTTCCTTTAACAGATATTGCAAGCAAAGTAATTTAAGTAAAAAAGGAGCTTTTCTGAAATCAGAAGATGGGAAATTTCTTCATGCACTCATCCTTTAAAAGTAAAAGCTTAACTAACCGGCATACTCGGAAATTTCCGAATATCTGAAAATTCCGAATAGTCGAGCATAACTGGTAAAGTGGAAAGGGTAGGTTGTAGCCATTCTTTAGATTTTTCAGCTAAATAATGCTCTTGACATTTCGATATGTGCATCGTATAAAAAATAGTCCAATGGAACTGAAAATTAATCTGCTTAGCAAGCACAGTTAAGACTCTTTTATATCTGTGAAATATTGCAAACATTACTGCGCAATACGTGCACCTTAATTTTTTCACACGTGATATTACTCAATTGGAATCAACAGCTGCCGGTATTCGGAGAATAAATAAAGGAAAACGCACATTTGCTTCGTCTGATTTTCACCATCATGCACCCATGTGGCATATTTATCATTGAGCAGGACACGTCGCGCTACGCGATATCCCTACTGTACTCATATTAATTAATAAAGAGATTTACCAATCTTGGGTACTTGTCATTCTAATTTTGAACATACTGAGTTAAATTTCCGGAATAGAATCATTCTTCGATTGAGTTGGTACACCGCAGAACTTTTAGTCCTATTCAATCCAGATGGGAAAGTGACCAAAAAAAAAAAAAGTCCGTTGCTTGCCTTGCTGCGAACTGTAATGGTTTCAATGTTCGAGAGTTTGCGGAGAAAGGGAAGAACCCCAACTTTCGTACTGTATAATGCATTGGGGGGGGGAGAGGAGATAAAATATTATTTGATTACTTTCACTTTATTTATGCCATTCCGAATATTATTCCTTTGAAAACTAATTTGTGCTAAAACACACTTACTCATTTTTGAAGTTTATCTATACTTCAGCAGTTACTGCAAATATAATATTATAAATATTCATACATATGTTCATAACTCGAAAGCCCGGCAGTCATATGAAATGACAGCTGTTTTATATATTATAAACTAGGTGTACCCGCCCGGCGTTGCCCGTGCATTTAGAAAATGCAGATAAGTGAATAGCGCAGGAATAGTAGTGTAGGACATGTAGACTGTCTCTCTCTCTTCCCCCCCACAAGCTACAAAAAAGAAATGAATTGTAATTAATCGATTTAATGTATCGTCAAAACAGCAAACTAACGCTAGAATAAAGAAATCAATTGTTACAATCGAACGTTATTTGAAAACAAATAATAATATCAGTGAGTCAAAAAAACCGTGATTAATTAATTATAAATAATTTTTTTTAAAATTTTTCTAATTCAAAAATCGAAAATTGGGCTTCGAGGTCTGGTGGCCAGCCCCTTTGTGCTTCCGTATAAAAAATTCCAGGTCCCTGCGTGCGATAGATTTGGCTGGAGAGCTCGGTCAGACAGACAGACAGACAGACACATTACACTTGCTTTTATTATTATAGATTGTAATTAAAATGATTTGTGCAAAGGTTTCTGCTAATTTAAACTGAATTACCCAGGGCAGGCGGCGAGGACGGCCCTTTGCTTACTGCTCCACGGGGTTTCCCCCTTCTACTTGCTTAATTGCTTAAAGTAGAGTACAATGAAGGAAACCACTGGCGGTACATTTCTTTAGAGCCAATCGCTAGCTCAATTAATAAAGGTGATTTAAATAATGAAATGTTAATTCACATGTCAAAGATCTATTTGTACACATTTCTTGTGTAGATCTTTCCATTATTTTTAAGCTCGCCTTGCAGAAGACCATCCATTATTTTTAATTTTACGTCCTTTCTTTCACGAATTCTTGAACAGGCAACATAAAGCTGACCATGTCCAGATGCAGGTTCAGGTTAAAAAACTGATAGCACGCTTAAGCATCTGGCCGTGAGACTTAGTGATGGTCATAGCAAAGGCAAGTTTTACAGGAAATTGTCTACATCTCAACTGAAACGGCAAACCCGTGCCGTGGCAACTTTACCCCATTGGCTAGTACAGTTACGCAAGCAACCAATAAACTATCAGCGACAGACACTTAAGCCGCATATATACATACGGGGGTGAAGTAACATCATCTCCTCCGAAACGGTTTGCTCCTGGGCTTAACGAAGTACACTGCTGGATTCCGCAGGTCCGTGGTACGCCATTTTGACCATTCGAGTTCTCTTGGGACTTTAATTAGCCGAGATATTAATTAAAAACTAATTTTCTTTTACATTTTCCACTTTCTTTCTTGGGTTTTCCCTATTAAAGGGATTTGGCTACGTGCCAAATTCTTTTTTCTCGAATATATATGGAAAGGCGCCAAGTTGAAATTCGAGACGCATATCTTCGGATTCCAAAAAATTCCCGGAATCCATCAATACCGTTCTCATCTTCGTACGACTTTAATCGGCCGAGACATTAATTAAAAACTGTGTAAAATTTTATTTCCGAGTGGCAACAATAAACTATCGGCGACACACACTTTAGCCGCTTATATATATATAAATAAATATATAAGCACACCGATCATAATAAACACGAATATGAACTCACCATGCGGAACATTTAAATTATTAAAATCTTAATAGAAATTCAAACAGTGTAGTATTGGGTGGGAGCAAAAGAGTACGGAATGTACCGGAATTTTCTACTGCTTTCGCAATTCTTTGACCATGCACGTTACGTTAATGCAGAGAAAGGGTGGAAAGCTATTTCTGGGATTATGATTCACCATCTGACGTTCCATATATAAGTAAGAAAAGTTGTTTATTTAGTTTCGGCTTTGGTATGGAGAAAAAATGTACGTTCATAAAAAAAAAAGCACTAAAAACAAAAAGTAAGTGCTATAGAGAAAAAGTAATCCCCTATAAGGGCTTTTATACTTTATTTTCAAATATAAGGACTTACAAGCACTTGCAAGGACCGCTACGAACCCTGTAAAAACTGTTTTAGACTTGTCTCTACTTTTTTGTCTTAATTTAACAATAAAATAGTCATTCCATTCACAAAGTTGTACACATAAATTACAGTTGCCATCTAGTTTGATTTTGTGCCAATATTTGGTGCTATGCAGCACCTTATTAACAGACAAAGAACTCGTGAACTATTACAAACAGCCACCGAAGTTTTAAGGAACAACAATATTCTTAAAAGTAATTTGTAGGTACATGCAAAAAACACGGGGGCTCTCAATCATATGTCCCAATGTAGTTGTACTTATATCCCATGATTTTACATTTATTTGATTCACACTATCAAAAATATTAAAATAACAACAACAAAATTTGTTCTTTAAAAATCGCACAATTTGATATATTAAAGTCAAATTTTCAGACAAAGTATTCTTGGTAAGATCAGCCCCCCCCAATTTAACTGATGCAAAGTTAAAAACAATTATTAACTATTTGCTGTGAGAAACATTCATCAAAAATTTGAAAAATCAAGATTGAATTCTGAAAGGGGAGGAATTCTGTGTAGGTGCAAATTCATGCGTAAATTGTTTGTAAATTTTAATTACTGAAATTTTTGTAAATAAGGCCATGACTGCAACTTACTTTATTCTAAAAGTTACCAAATACTATTCCAGAGTTACCAACTTTCCCACTTTTACCAAGACTCCCTAATTTCTCATTGCATCTCTATGTAGATCACCAGAACTCCCAATGTTTAATTTTTAGCCTTTACTCAGAAAAGTATTTTTAAGCAATAAATAAAATTTATTGAATGAGTGAAACTTGAATTGGGCAAATTCCATTTCCCCATCCCTAATGATTTTCAGAATAAATCGCAAATATGTATTTGTGTAAAAGTTCAACAAAAATGAATGTATAAAACGATTTTAAAATGCTTCAAGATCTGACACTAATAAAAATAAGATAAATAAAACACTCAAGTTATATATACCAAATAAATTTTTTCTGAAGTGTACTACAGCACTCGAAAGTACTGATGAAAATTCTTACTTCTCGCAAATATTGAATAAAATTAAATGAAAATTTTAACATTAATTTACAATCTAATTATAATTCTCTTGCACTTTTCCAATCATATTTTCATAAGAACATAACAATATATATTAAGTTGGAAAAGATCATGCTATTTTCAAATACAATTTGAAAATTATACTTCTAAATCACATTCTAAAATAAGTAAAAAGAAAGCAATAATAGGAAGCAAATGCTAGTAGACACAGTACAATACAGTAGTAAAAGTCGTTAATCCGGACTCGTCGGGACTTCGGCGATTCCGGATTATAGATCATCAGTTTAAATCTCATAAGATGGCATGCAGAAATTCTAAAATTAAAAATATGAAACTGTAATTTATGAAATAAAGAACAATTATGATCTAAAGGGTATCAAAATTTGCAAAAAGAAAAAGTTTAATATTTATTTGTTTACTTTATTAAACATTTCTTTCAATGTAAGTTATTTAAGTTTTGCTTCGTTTCATGTGATAATACTTTCTCTTTAATTCTATTAAACAGATATAATTTCTTGTTCAGTTACAAAGTTCCGCTGTTCAAGTCCTATAATTGCTGTGTGGAGAATACTGACTAATTTGTCAATCGAAATTTTTTCGTTTTCAATAACCTCTGTGACTTTCTTCCCTATCGAAGCGAATTATAATGAGAAAGAACTTGTTTTAAATCATATCAAAGACTCGAGATGAAATACTACATTTGATAAGGAATTATAAGCCAAATAAAATAAAAACATCTGCTCTGAAGATAAGGATAGTGCTGACAGATCAACTTCCAATTCATTATGCGCGGGCCGCATCCCCCCTCGCCAAGCAGTGTGAAATTGATAAAACAGATTTCGGATTTCAAAACATACTTTCGCTTTAGATCCTTTACATATTAACAAATATATATCGGAAATTTTATTTGATATAATCGAAAGTTTAAGCTTACTTTTATAAAATTGCTCTTACAGTCTGCAAAAAATAATAAGCCGGATCCAATTCGAAAATTAAGGAACAACGCAATCATCAACATTAACTGAAATAGATAATTATTTAGCTTATACGTCCATTATACATAAAGCACGCACGCGAAAACATATTCTGCACTTGCGCACACTCATATGCGCAGTCGTAAAAGGTCTTACGTGCACGCGTAAACGCCTGTGCGCATGTGTCAACGCGGTGCATGCACAAAAAGTTTTTAGTTTTGAGGTCCGTATTATAGATCATTCCGAATTAACGACTTTTGACTGTATATGAAAATACTGCACATTTTGCAAATTTATTAAAAAATCACAAAATTAAATACATCAGTACAAATCCTTTTATAACTATGCAACATAATTTTAAACAGAAATCTAAATATTTTGAAAGTTATCACCTATGAGGAATGTCAAGGCCTCCATCAACTGCTCCTTTCATAGCACCAAACACTCTTGCTCCTGTGGTGGTACGGGCAAGTCCTACATCCAAGTAACATCTAAATGCTCCAGGCTGTCCTTCAATGTCTTCAACAGTGAAATCCTCTCCATTTGCTACAACAACGCCTTCATAAATTGAGTCCATTTTGAATTTTTTGAGCAGCTAGAAAGAAAACTATTTATTTAAAAATGTTCACATACACATTGATAGAATTTATAACGAAGGCATAAAATTACTGGCGTGCATACTACCAATATTAACATGATAGTTCCATTTCAAATACTCTCCAACTCAGCAAATTTTGCTATTAAATATATAGAAATTATTTCCAAAGATTTCTTGAGCAATATATTAAAGAATAAAAAAGAAGAAACATTTAAGTTCGAAATCTGGGCTCGTTGGAACGTCACCGATTCCGGATTTTTCTGGATATTTTACATTATTAGTTTAAACCTAGTAAGACAGCATGTAGAAATTGTAAAACTAAAAATATGAAATAATGAAGTATTTATGAAGTAAAGGGTATCAAAATTTACAAAAAGCTTAATATTTATTTGTTTACTTTATTAAACATTCTTTCAATGCAAGTTGTTTACGTTTCTTTGTTTTTTGTGCTAATACTTTCTCTTTAATTCTATAAACAGACATAATTTCTTGTTCAGTTCCACTGTTCAAGTCCTGTAATTGCTGTGTCGAGAATACAGACTAACTTGTCAATCAAAATTTTTTCATTTTCAATAAAATTTCTGTCACTTTCTTCACTATCGGAAGCAGTACATTGAAATATGCTTTCGCTTTGTAGATCCTTTGGCAGCTCCAGAATCGGAAACTCTTTTTGACGAGTTCAAGATTACTTTTTATAAAATTGCAGTCATAATAAGCCGGATCTAATTAGAAGACTAAGAAACAAAGCAATCTGCAACATTAACTGAAATAGATAATTAGATCATTTTAGCCTAGCTTATACCATTCGTTGTTATACATTAAGCACGCATGTGCATTATGCTCTTACGCATGCACAGAAAGTTTATTGCTTTGAGGTCTGGATTATAGACGTCCGGATTAAAGACTTTGTACTGTGGATATATATATAAAATTCCAAAGCATTACTAGTATAACTATAATAGGCATTTTTCTCCACTGAAGATTTGAGATTAGAATCTGTTGCAGGTAAATGAAAGAAAGAAATCTATTAATATTTTAGAATAAATTCAGCCATTTTATATTTACTTAGCAGCATACATAAGCAAAAAAAAAAAAAAAAATACATGCACTAAATTTCGTGATAGTATGTCATCATACTGCTAGAATTAGTTTCAGAATTATGTCAGAGAAAATTGTCTAAATTTGAATGTATTATTGACTAACAATATTTTAGAGGAAAGAAAACAACATTAAATGATATGAATAACATTAAAATAAAGTTAATTACTTAAAAATTAAATTACAACAATCAATGATATGTTGGTGAATATAGTTATATTAAACGCGAACTGATTACTATTTTTTATTTTACTGTAAAATGAAAATGCATTTATTAAAAAGAAATAAAGACGTTTAAAAGATTTTGCGGTAAAATCATAGTCTATGCTACAGTCTTGGCACAATTTTGAAAATTGCTGCCAACACCAAAAATGACCCATTTACTGCCAACACCTTCTTAAACAGAGGAAGCATGTTGCTACTGATACTGTTGATAAATCACATGTGTACTGTATATTGGATGTTAGAATTAAAGAATATGTATTGTTAAGATGGAAAACTTCTCCTCAACAGGGGAGGCTCCATCCCATCGTAGAGAAAAACAGCTGCGCGAAATATCTGTTGCCAGAGCTCGACGCCAGTGTTTGAAGGTCACGAAGTACATAAAACGAATATCGTTTTAAATTTCTTTAATCTTTAAAGGAAAAGAAAATGTTTTTTCACTCAAGTAAATTAATGGATTAGTTATTTTGAGCAAAAATCTGAGTTTAAATTATCGCAAAAGTCAAAGAATGTTTCTTCTTAACATGTGCTCCTCAATTTCTTGTACACATCGCGGAGGGGGATATTATCGCTGCCAAGTTCTGGTGCCAAATCCCTTGGGAAGACTTCCACTCCACTTTCTAGAGGCGCAATAGCAAACTGGTATTACATTATATCTATGGAACCTTCCCTTCTTTACAACTGCACATGTGCATGCACGTCTCTCAAGTCTCGAGGTTAGTGGAAACTTGCCTTGCCTTTCTAAAAGACAATTTGATTGGAGATGCGATAATTGGCTCAATGCCAGCTGCCCAAATGATGCTCATGCGATACATAATTCGCCAATAAATGATCGCTGTATGACATTCCCCGACTCTTGCAGATTTTGACTATAATATTTAAATTACCTGACATTTTCTGGTTTTCTAATTAGCGTATTTAAATTACCTGACATTTTCTGGTTTTCTAATTAGCGTAAAATCCCCGTACTACAACAAAGCAGTACTGAGCAATGTTTCTTGCAGCGTGTAACTTTCCAACGAAGCTATTTTGAAAATGATACCACTGGCTTAATCTACGAATACAAATCATGTTTCATAAAAGCTGATCTCATTTATACCTCCCTGTCGTGCCTTACACAAAAACAAGCAAATCAAATGCCTCCAGTAATAATTTATGATTTCCTAGCACTTAATTTTTTTTTTTTTTAAATTTGGCAGGACTAACTTTAAGTCTTCATTCCTCACATTCAATTAGATATAAATTAGAGAGATCAGATAATTTCCCTAACAAAATTAAAATATGAAGCTGAAAGGCACAAAAATGCTAGTTAGAGAATTTAGCTATTTTTAAAACATTATATGTAAGAAAAGAATATGTACATCAAAATTTTAACACTTAATTCCTTTTCCCTAAAAAGGCTTCTCTATCATCAAACTTCTTTTTAAATGAAAGATTTAAAGGCATGCAAAACAAAGTCCTAACTTAAATTTATAACAATAAATTTTTAACTCAAAGGCACATTAGCCCCGGAGGGTTATTAGTCTTGAAATGGCATTTTGCATCAAATTACTAAAAACGGCTATATCATTTTTCAAATTGTTGCTACCAAATGTTATCAGCATGTATTATATTAATATTAAAAAAATTAAATAATGAAGAATCTGCAGGAATGTTTCTCGCAATGTAAAAAAAAAAAAAAAACACCTCCATCCAAACATGGGTTCATGGATCTGGAATTCGTTTTATTTGCCATTTTATATTTCTTAACATTTAATGAATTTTTGATTAAGAAACTCAATGATTTCAAAGCAAAGCAGCAGCAATACACTGCGCAGAATGAAATATTTTTATCTGCAGTGCACGAGACTCTTTTTCCCCAAACGATTTAAAATGTATTCAGAAGAGATTTTTTTTGTGACATTAGTGCATACCTCACACAGCTCAAAAACAAGTAGCCTGAGAATATTAAATTTTACATACAGGACTGCTGTAATATGTAGTTGTGTACCTCCCTTTTTGGTTGCAATCGGCTGCACCAAAAATACACACACACATATATTATATATATATATATACCCACTCTGTTACTTGGCTTAGTGAGGGTTTTTTTTTTTTTTTTTTTTTTTCATTCTTGTATGTTGGTAAATTTTGCATTTTTTTGCTTTAAAATGATTAAATTATGTTCTTACACTCATGTCCATAAATTAAGGATAATGCAAAATCAGGCAAAGGAAGAGTTAGAAGCAAAACAAATTTGACTTATTTGTGAAGCTTATTTATTAAACAAAAGGTAAAGAGCAAAAAAAGATGCTAGATGTTTGATATTATTAAAAAAATTAGCCATTTTTTCTCCCTGGAGCAAATTACAAAAAAATATTACATGGTTGGTATGATTGTTAATACATTGTATGTCTCCCAGACGATGCAATACAGTCCATACAACGCATAGGCATGCTGAGTATCAAATTATCGATCTGATCTTGGGGGATATTACACCACTCAAAAAGCAATGCTCTCCAAAATTAGACATGTAGGAGGAGGTTGACGGGCTGCAACTCGTTGGCCAAGCATGTCCCACACGTGCTCTACCGGATTCAAGTCCAGTGAGAATGCTGGCCAGTCCATAAGGGTGATATCCTCCGATTGAAAGCATTCACTTACGATGTTTGCACGGCGAGGACAGGTGGTGTCATCCATAAACACAGATTGTGCACCCATAGCATCCCGAAACGAACGTATATGTTGTTCCAGAATGACACCTCGATAGATTTGGCTTGTCATGGTTCCAATTTGAACATGCAAGGCAGTTCTGGAACCCAGAATAATTCCACCCCAAACAAGCACTCCTGCACCACTGTAACGGTGTCGTTCAATGATGTTTTCTTGGTAATAACAGGTACCTGGAGCTCTCCATATGAAAGTCTGGTGAGAATCAAGACTGCAAGCTAAACCTGGACTTGTCGGAAAAAATCACACAAGCCCACTGTTGCGGTGTCAACAATGCATGCTCTCTACTCCAGGCTAACCACAGGCGACAGTGAGTTGCAGTAAATGGAACACATCTGATAGATCTACGAGCATATAGACCAATCTGCCCTAAGCGTCTGCCTTGAAATTGTCGTACCAGTGGCTGAAGAGAGCTGACGAGACAGGTCTGAGGCTGTGCTCCGCCTGTTCTTTGGCAATAACTGCCAAATACTGGTCCTCATTCAGCATTGTAACTCTGGGGCCACCTGTGCTGTAACGTCTACTCACATTACCATCATCTTGGAATCGTTGCCAAAGCCTGGAGATGACACTTTGGGCAATTCCAAGTTCGTATGATACTTCCAGTTAGGTACGCCCACATTCCAGACGGCCGATAATTCTACCACGTAAAAAATCATCCAAACGCGTCCTTTTTGTCACAACTATTCGGTTATTGCACTGAAATGCTTATAAAGCGCCTGCGAACAATTTGACTTCTTTGCCTGCATTCCTTATATATCACTCTCTTACAATCTCGTCATTGTGACATACCATCAGTGTCATATGGTTACTTCCTGAAATTTGCATATGATTCTTGAAGATGTGTGTAGTGATTTTACAGGTGATGTATTTATTTTAGAGTTCGATTTCCGCGTGACTCTGAATTATCCTTAATTTATGGACATGAGTGTATCTTATGGTTAAGGTTTTAATGCCTTTAGTTAATCTGCATGCAATAGGTGTAGAATTGTCAACAATTTAAAAGCTGTTTTAAGTGTGGCTAAGCCTAATTTTTGTTTACCACAGCAGCCATATTTGTTTACGTTTGAAAAGAGAATAGTGAATTCAGTTTCGGCATCTTTACTGTCTTTTTGCCAAGTGGGACTAAAAGGAAGCTTAGTTTTGTGCGCCGAAAAATCTGCCTAGTAGCCTGCTTGTTGAATTGTTAATTTTTGCATAGAAACTCTAATTGTAATAATTGTTTTTATTGTATTTGGTGTTTTATTTTTTTTTCTATATTTTTCAATTTTTAATGAAGATATTTTGAGGTTTTTATGTATTTTTTGTCTTATTGCAAACTGAGAACAGAAGTCAGTCAATGTGAAATATACCTCTAATGAAATTTGAGGAAATGAGTTTAAATGAAATGAAGCAAAAATGATTATAATTTAATATTCTGTATAGAGAAGTCGTGGTGTACACATCAGATTTTTTACACTAGGTAAATCCAAAATGGAAATGAAAACTTTATCAATACAAATATTGACTGATTAATGGTTAATTGAATCTTCATAGGAAGTTCTGTCAATACGTGCGGTATATTAAAAATAATTTAGATACAAAAAAATCTGATAAGAAAAATCATTAAAGGTGGGGCAAGAAATCTGCTCAATTTAAGTTTGAATAATTCAATAAATTTCCTTTATTGCTAAGTCTTTTTCTTGCTAAAGGCTAAAAATTAATAGCCGAGATAATTGGAAGCTACGATATACTATATTCTCAATACATATACAGAGTGAATCTGAAAAAGTACGCAAAACTTTAAAGACCCACCTCTATCAATCCAGCGTCATGGGAACTTTGCATCTAAAGTCTTCTGCATATCTAATTTGAAGTGTGCAGGTGCACCATGCTGTTGTAATCATACGCAGCACCTCTGACACCTCTCATAGGAATGTGTGATAAGATTTGCTGTTCAGATGGTGTAGCAGGAGGTATGGGTCAACCAAATGGTCATGGAGGATATCTCCCAAACATTTACGGAGAAACATCACTAGAACAGGTGAGGAGTATGGCATGCAGGTTCATAAATGCCCATGCGTGTGAGTTGTGGGTATTAAAAATATCTTTACAGGCAAAAAAGCACTCGTCCATAAACAGAACAAGCACGCTGAAATCCAGCCGCTTTGCATTCTGATGGAAGTACCAACGTGTGAAATCGACACATGGCTTATAGTCCGCTGGTAACAACGCTTATACCTTCTGTGTACAACAGGGATGCATTCCTTCCTCATGTAGCACACAGCAAACTGTTATTTGGGACACGTTTAGAGAGCACGGGACGCTGCTCGCGTGCTACATGCAGGTTGAGTTTTCGCCCTACACAAGTCTTCAAGTTGAGGTGTGCTGACTCTCCTTCCGATCTGGAGAGCATCTGATAAGAAACTGATTCTGGTAAAGTATTGGTAGCTCAATTGCATTCCCACTTTCTACACTGCATAGGAAATGCATACTGGCCACTTTTTTGTTCATATAACTTCGCAGGCATCCTCTCAGAAATTCACAAGAGAAAATGCCACTGAGTGCCAGGGCAGACCCTTTTGCTTATCTTGTTCCAATGCTGTCAATGTGGACAGACCAATGCTTGTCTTGTGCATTCTACGAATACTGCTGTCTTCTATCAACCCCCTAAAGTTTTGCCCACTTATTCGGATTCACCTGTATCTGATAAAATCTTTATTCCTCCTATATTAAAAATAAATAAATAAATAAATAAATAAAGCAATTTTGTAATTCTAACTCTGAATATGAAAAAAACTGAGTCAACTTAAGACCGATTTCCTGCATAAGTAGTCAAAGCTGGAAATAAAGAGAGGGAAGGATTAAAATTTATTTAGAATTGAAACTGCCTCAAACCGGATGAAACTTTGGGGTTATTTTAAAGATTAAACTTCAATGAAATACATACACATCCACTATACTTGAAAAAATCCTAATTAATGTTTTCTGCAGTATTTCCTGTTATAAGCATTTCCACTTATAATATTTACCAAACAACCTTAATATTCTCTGCTAATTACTCCACTTCAAAATCAAAAGAGGAAAATGAAGTGGGTATACCATTTCTGAGTGAAATGAAAAAGATAAGAACCAAATGTAACTCATAAGTGTACATGAACCAATGTACTTTACCTACTATTAGTATAATTCTTACGCATAACAATATAATTTCCTTTATCACTGTTAATTTTAGTCTTTAATAATTCACCGTCTTTGTATATTGCTACACATCCTCTTCCACGGGTAAAAGCAATATTCCTTATTAACTATGTAATTAAAAAAATCTGAAATATAAGTCTTATGAATAAAGTACTACTTTTCTGCAAATGAAACATCACATTTTAACATAGTGTCAACTAAAAATTCTTCTAAGAAAAATTTATACATATAATCAACTTACTCTTCTTGCAAGCAGCAATCCAGTACAATATGCAGCTGCATAATTGGTCAACCCGACCTTGATGCCATATCGTGGTAGTTCATGTGCATAGGCAGCACACACTATACAATCTCCTTCAATTCTGGCATACGCTATCTGATTAAGAAAGAATAAATTACTAGCATTTCAATAAGAATATAATTATATACATTGCAGTTTCTAGAAAAGTATATACACGTGACAGTCAGACATAACATTTCAGAAAAAAATGAATTTTACAAATCTAGTTATTTATGATACAAAAGAAACATACAACCACATTTTTAACAGTACTTATATTCTACTTTTTTGAAACCAAACACATTATGGTAGACTTAGTAGCACAACAAAAATTTCTTAACCTTCTGGAAGGCAACGTCTATCTACAGAGTTACATAAGCAAAATTTATATTCTCATTCACAATAGGTTTAAACTTACTTAAAGTGTGATTACAGAATAGGTCAAATGATCTAAAATAATATAGTTTTACCCCTCTATAATAAGGCAATAAAGAAATAAAACATAATTTGAATTAATTCATTAAATGAGTAGCAATAACACAATGGCACTGTTCCCAAATGGTCAAAGTCAGAAAACTGATATATAAGTATCTAAAACAGTCACAACTGACTAGTTTTTATAAGGCCAGACCTTAGATCGCAATGCATCGATATTTATAAGTTGCCAAATAATACATAACAAACAAACATTCACTTAATTAATATAACTATTTGCTTTTTTACGTATTTACATGTTTATTAAAATTTTAATTTCATTCCTTGCAGCAATGGCACAAAGAATTAATTAAATTTGCATTAAAATTTAATTTATTATTTTGAAACAATATTTACATGTTAACATTTCAATTCTTGTCAAGGCAAACTAATACTAATTTATAAGTCAAACAACAAAAATCATGATTATATTATCAAAGGACTAGTTTCGATGGTTTTACCGAACCATCATCCCTGAGCTGCAATAGCACAAATGAACGAGATAAGATAAGAAAGCCTGGTCATGAGATAAGCCACTGGTGCCATCAGTTGATGATCGTGGCTGATATCTACATGACTTTTTATGAATCAAAATTGTTTGATACTTTAAACTTCTTGGTATGGTTCTACTACATAAACAATACTTTTACCCTGTTCAAAGATAATAAAGATGATTTAAATAAAGTTCTTTCAATTTTATTTAAATCATTTGAATCAACAATGAATTTCATGGACCTTGCTATTCAGTTCACTTTTGAACATTAGACTTGCAATTCTCTTCCGTTTCTCGGCATTCTGGTTACACGTAACACATCCAACTTCAATACCATGGTTTACAGTAAACCTCCATCTGGTAGCCTTCCACCACACTTCAAATCATGTCATCCGACTAAACAAAAGTTAGCTTCATTTTATTCCTATGTTTTCTGAGCTCTTCAAGTTTGCTCCTCCAAACTATCCCTTGATGAAACTAAATTATTTAAAAGCAATAGCTACTGACAGGGGCTTTTCACCCAACATTATTAACCCGTGAGTACGTGGGGGGTAGATACCCGGGTGCATATTCTTTGTCCTTTATCTCAAAACCTCTTTCCTGGGAATGGGCAAAACCTTTTGTAGCTCAATTCAAGGTCACATTTATGAAGCTGGGAAATCTGTGGAGTGATTCTTTGAATACTTTTCTAGGAATTGTACTGTTTGGGTATGTGATACCCGCACGCCTCCCAGATTTTCACCCTTACTTTCTTACTTAGTCAGCATGGCACGGCATCTAAGTTATGATAAAGAAATGGAAAAGGTTGAGAAATATGCTAGAAACCATTTCAACAGATGATGAAACGTTTAGAAGAGGAGGAAGAAGTAATAGATGAAGAACACAACAGCAATTATAATTCCTTAACACACAGTGGCACAGCCGCTGAATTAAATCAATGAAACGATGAAAATTATGTTGGTAAAAATGGCTTGGTATGGAAGAAAAACGAATTCCAAACTAATGTTAGGTCTAGTTCTAAAAACATTATCTTTAAAATTCTAGGAAATACAGGTTATTCGAAAGTGGAAGATTACTCAAATCAACGGCGGCAGCAAATCATGCTCCCTTTGAAACTAAAAGAAAAAATAATTTCAGGACATTGCAACATGGAACCACCATCTAAAAAGATGAAAAACGTTTACAGAAGATGCGCTGAGTGCCATAAAAACAAGGACAGAAAGACACGATTTCTGTGCAAGAAATGTAATATCAGTATTTGTATAGAGCATGTGTTCAGTATGCCAGAGATGTGCAAAATAATTGCATGTTAAGTACTTAATTTATTAAATTCTTTAAAATATTACAAAGTTCATTGTTTTTTTATGTTAATTCACATTTATACTCATATTTATATTAGTCATGTAATTTAAAACGTATTAATTGCTTTCGGGTATGACATACCCAGTGCGCCTTCGTGTTCATAATTTTGGCACGCATGCTCGCGGGTTAATCATGCAGTTAAAAAATTCTCATATCAACACACCAAAAGGCACACTCTTGTTTTAGAAGATTATAAAAATTCTGTTGTCATTCCCTTCTTTCCATCAATTAGCTATAAAGTTGCACGTATTTTTCAGAAATTTAACTTTTGGGTCATTTATTCTCCCATCAATAAAATTCAGAGTTCCATACTCAAGGACGCCACTCCGGATATGAACCCGTGGGTATTTACAGGATTCCTTGCCAGTGTGGCTTAATTTACATTGGCCAAGCTAAGAGTCCCTTAAAATTTCACGTTAAGGAACATGAGGCATATGTTAGAAAAAAGGAAAAACAGAAGTCTGTTGCCAAAATTATTCAAAAAACATCTTACATTGATGAACTGGATTTTCTAGAGGCATTTCACATTCAAGAAAAATCTTTGTTCTAGTTAATGACCCTAATTCCAATCCATCTTTATTTTCAGCCTTTACAGAAATTACGTTTTAGTTCTGGTTTCAACAACAGATGGTGCCAGTGGCTCTTCTGTCCAGGCTCTCTTATCTCATTCATTTGCGCTTTTGCAGTTGAGGATGATGGCTCGGTAAAACCATGGAAACTAGTCTTGTGAAAATTTGAAAATATAACGCTGATTTTTGTTGTTTGACCTCTATGCGGCGAAAAAGCGCTACGCAGTTAGTTATTTTAGAATGCGCTCGTGTTACAAAGTACGCGTAAGGTCAGACTACGTACGTTCACACCCATGGAGCAACAGACACACTGAAACTCGCAGCTCGGTTTTCGAGACAAATGAACGCAGCTTTTTTGCATCGCATAGCAGTCAAATGGTTAATATTTGTTCGGCCTGTTACTGTATGGAAATTAATACTGTTTTCACAAAGATAAAAGCAGATGAAGTGGTTGCTCTGCTACTCAATATACACTCATATATGGGCCACATGATCAGTAACTTCCCTTTCAAATTAGTGGGAAAATTTAATCTGGCATAGCTTCTGAATATAATTACTAATTTCAAGGTTTATCAAACAAAAATCCATTTTCAAAAGCAAAAATTTTGAAGGTATTTTCAATGACAACTGATTTCAAATAATTGAGTGCATGAGAAAAGCATATTCTGAAGAACATACTTTGAGAGTGTGATATAGCATAAAAGCAAAAAAGATACCATTTACTGCATAGCAACTTGGCATGACTTAGCATGGGGAGAACAACAGAAAAAGTTTATAATAAACGCTAGTGACGAAATTAAATTCGCTGTAGATACGGATATCAAGGAAAGTAATTCTCAAAATTAAACCGCATCAAATCAAAATTCTTAATTTTAAACCTTGCATTGTTATGTTTAACTTCACGTTTAGGCTTTTTCAGATCACCTTTCTCAATTTCGAACTTTCTTTCAGTCATTTCCAACATTTTCTCTGACATTCAGCTCAGATTTTTTAAATCAATAATACAGGCTAATATTTCGACAGTTCATGCCATTTTCATCTGTTTATCATTTCAACTACATAACAGTCCCCAGGGGAAAAATATACGCATGAAGTAACTACAGAAGCATTTCTCCATAATAGAACCAGCTGAACTGCCACCAAAATGGCAATAATAATTCTTTGCTGGCAATCTCATGAAATTTTCTACATGTAGTATTTTATCCAGAGGCCATGTCTTTTTTCTCATTCTGTTAATTATGTCATTACATTTTTGACAGACTTAGGTTTTATTTTTTACTTTAATTTCCTTCAATAACACTGAAATTGAAGTGCATTCATCCAACAAATATTACACATATCTCACACACTTGCCTACCATTTTGGTCTACAGCATTTAAAAAGATTATTGCAAAGTTTGTTTTGCTTTTGTTTGGGGAAGGATTCCGTTTCTGGAAACTGGCTGTGATTTTGCAGTCCTTTCGTAACAGTTAACTTCAGCATGATCAGCAAGAAATTTTGATATAGGCATCAGCTTTTCACTTAAACCCTCTCCCTAACTCGCTTGAATTACCTCAGAATGAGAAAACCATCAGGCAGTGATTATCTCAGTATTCTCAAACACTTAACTTATGATTAGTCTGGGCACTAGAACTAAATACCACCATCTTTCATTGCAAAGCATGTCCCCCCCCATCAATGCAACTGCTAGAAATCAGTGCTATAAAAGAAATAACCAAAGAAATCTTCAACTACAGGATACTGAAGATAAGAAACTGCTTTAAGGAAAAGAATGGTTCTTGGAATGCAAATCATGGTAAGCTGGCTAGATTTTCAACTAATTATCCTTAATACCATCACTAAAAGGATTCCTGACCCAAAAGCTACAAACAAGTAATTCAGCCTGCACAGTATCTAGGCTATCAGAGTTTAAGGATGTTCTATCACATAAATAAATTTTTACAAAAGATCCATGTAAGTAAATTGAAATGGACTTAATCAGTTAAATATGGGATATTTCTGTTTACTTTTTAGCTGAATATTTTGGAAAAAACTTCACTTTTTTTTTTTTTTTTTTTTTTGGTTTCTGTACAATATAAAGAGTACAGATAACTTTTCTGTACAAGACAAATTTATTATCTCGAATTTTGACTTCTACCAAGTTTTATACAGTAGATGATCACAGTTTAAAAAACTAATGTGCCTGAATGTTATATTAGCTCTGAAACTAAATTTGAAAAAGATAACGAGTATGCATTTCATCAATGCAAAACTTCTGGATTTGAAACGTAAAAAATCCTGAATTCTGCCTCTATCCAGACCACAATACAATCCTTAAAAATTACAAAATATTTAACAATGGCAGTATAAGTAGTACATGTACACTGCACAAAAAAAGAAATGGGACAGATCTATATCTCCCATTCTACTGAGGCAATTAATGAAATTCAAATTGCGTTTTTCATGTCTCAAAAATGAGACTTTATATAAATATATATAACATTGTTCTAATACAGGTATTTTGACATAAAATCGGACTCTTTCTGAAATGACATGCCAAATTTTTCCATATTTCGATTCTGCGACTAAAATGATGCATACATATTAAATGTAAACTTTGGTGCGAAATTTACAGACCAATTCAAAAACTTATCTTGGCGTATTTTTCTTAGTTTGCGACAAGTATAATTCACTTTGTGAACTTCTTAATTTATAGAAAGCTTTTTTCACTGCAGACGAAGAGAGGGGGAAGTCACCATTTATACTTTAAAAATAATTTTAACAAAGTACATAAATCACATTTGGCGTTACAATATGTAAATTCACGTATATCTTAGAAAACTTTGAGTAGGTGTGCCTAAAAACACATCTAATTTAAGATGATGTTAAAAAATTTTTAAATAAATCATAAAAAATGAGGGAATTTTATTTGGAATGAATGTAAATTTTGAAATGTGAAAAAAGAATAAGTTTAAAAAAAGAGACATAACAAATATATATACCGAAGTCAACTGACATTGAGGAGCTAAAATTTTGAAAGCTAATTTTTTAAAAACTATGCATGTGATTTTAGGAATCTTGGCAGTTTGGCATAATTTGAGTCATAGAATCGAAACATGGAAAAAAATTGGCATGTCATTTTGGAAAAAGTCTGATTTTGTGTCAAAATGCCCATATTAGAACAATGCTATATATAAATCTAATACATATTTTAAGTCGCACTTTCGAGACAGTAAAAATGCAATTTAAATTTTGTCAGAGATATATATATATAACTGCCCTTTTTTTTGTGCAGTGTACATAGACTATCAAACTGAACTAGCCATTTCCAAATCCTTACGATAAAAAAGTGATACTTATGTATTTTCCAGTAAGAGTGAAACTTGCTATTCAATGTAATTTAGTGCTGATAATGGATAAATGTGACACCACGAACACTCGTAAATCTTTGCTTTCATTTTATGTAGCACTGATTAATTATGAAAAGCCACTTTATTTTTAAAAAAGGGTATAAATTAAATGTTAACTGCTTTTTCTCCTGAATCTGAAAATGGGAATTTTTCGAGATTTGTCTTCTACAGAACCTCAAGCAGCGAGTTTTTTCTTCAGAGTTATAGAAACCTATCAGACAATTAAAAAAAACATGTTAATGGATCACATAAGCTGCAACACGGGAAAATCTACTAAAAAGAGAATGCGGTTCAAGAGCTCAAAAATCGCAGCGTTGTAGAAATCGGTGAAAACCATTTTACAAAATGCACTTTTTATTTTTGTAGCAATGGCTATTTTGTGGATTTTGTAAAGGCTTTATTGTATTGTAAGAGTTCTACACAGAACAACATTTTATGTAAACAATTACATAAAAACGTAGCACTATGCATCACTATTTAGATTCATATTTAAATTAATGCAATTGCATATCTGTATAAAGTAGAAATTTAAGAAGAAAAATACAAGTGACAGGTAAACGTAATTGTCAAGTTTAATCCGTTTGTTAATTATGTCATTTCCACATTTTTATTGAATTTTTAGGTCATAAAAATCTGTGACATGCTAATAACTATCATCTTCACTCGCACTTTTATTGTAGACTTTTGCATACTATATAAATAACTAGTACCTTCTGATTACTTAAGTATGTACACTGAGGGGGAGAAGTAGAACGAGAGATGAAGAGGACAGTTTCATCTCTTGTTCTACTGGACCAATTGATGAAATTCAACTTGCATTTTTCATGTCTCGAAAGCACGACTTATAATATGTATTAGATTTATACATAGCTTTGTTCTAATATAAGTATTTTTACACTAAATTGGACCTTTTCTGAAATAACAACAATTTTTTTCCATCTTTCAATTATACGAGTTGTTTTACTTAGTAAAAATTGCACAAGTAGTTTTTAAGAAATTAGCTCTCAAAATCCTCAATGTTAATTGAATACGATATATATTTATTAATATCTATTTTTTATTAAACTTACTCAATTCCTTCTTCCAGAATTCGAAATTTACGTAAATAAAATTTGCCTATTTCTTATGATTTATTTTAAAAATTTGTATGTTTAAATAATTTTTATAAATTTTTCGAAAAAATTTTGAATCATAACCTTTAAAAATTTGCCATCATCTTAAAAAAGATGTATTTCTAAGCACACCTACAAAAAATTAAAGAGTTTTTATTCAGAATTTCCAGGGTTATATGTGAATTTACATATTGGCGTATTTTGAAATTTGGCGTTTTTGTTATAAGCGATTTTACCACCAAATGTTATTTACACACTTTGTTAAAATTATTAGAAATAATGAACGACTTTTTCCCACTTGTTTATAATGAAAATAAGAAAGGAAAATAGGTTGCTATAAATGAAGAAGTTCGCCAAATTCTTGGCACAACTGAAAAAATCTTGCCAAGATAAATTTTTGAATTTGTCCGTAAATTTCACACCAAATTTTAATATTTGACTTATAAAATCGAAATATAAAAAAAAATTGGCATGTCATCTCAGAAAAAGTCCAATTTTGTGTCAAAATACCTATATTAGAACAATGCTATATATAATCTATTATACACTCACTTCCAAAAGTTAAGCACGGAGAGGAAAATGCTAATTTCCGGAAGCCAATCTGAATTAAGAGGATGCAATTCGCTGCAGAGGTAGATGGAAGTATGCAAATATGTTAGGTAACATACAATTGCGCTTTTATGTCAAGAAATATGCAAAAAAAGGCAGTCTTGTAAGAAGCCAGCTTTATGAAGGGTTACAGAAGTTGATTGACAGGTGTTTAAAACTTTCATACAATTTGTTTTCAAAACATACATGTTTCTGTGACTTCCAGAAGACGGATGGAAGAGTGAGTGCTGGCGTGCATTAAAGCAGGACAGTCGATCACAGATGTTGCTCTTTTCTTCGACATTCATTATTCTGCAATTTTACGCTTATGGAAACAATTCCAAACCACACAGACAGTTGTCCAAAGGCCCGTAGCCGGTCGCCCAAGGGTTACAATCCCTGCGGAAGATCGATATATTGCTTTTGTAGCCAAGCGAAATCGAGAGCGACCTCCACACGTGTAACATCTATGGTTACAGCGTCCATTGGTTCCTCTATCCATCCAATCAAGAGGGGCACGATTACAGTGGTGAACAGCCAATTGGAATGTGTCTGACAGGGGCAATGTCATGTTTACTGATTAGTCAAGATTTGTTCTGGAGCAAGATGACAAGTGTATAAGGGTATGGCGTGATAAACGAACACACAATCAGTCCCAAAACATCATGCATTCCAAGGCGGGAGCATTATGGTGTGGGCAGGGATTTCATTAGGATACCACACCAACCTGCATATCTTTAAAAGGGGTTCTTTAACAGCTGTCCAGTATCGAGATGAAGTCCTAGAACCCATTGTGAAATTGTATGCTGCAGCAGTTGGCCCTACTTTTGTTTTGATGGACGATAACGCACGTCCTTATAGAGCTGACATTGTTGATGACTAGCTGGAGAGTGAAGGGACTGCACGTATGGCGTGGCCAGCACATTCGCCCGACCTTAATCCCATTGAAAATCTTTGGGATGCTCTTGACCATGCTGTATTTTCACGTTTCCCACCTCCAGGCACACTTATTGAGCTGAAAACTGCTCTACAAGAAGAATGGTGATTGTTTAATTCTGCGATGGTTGACCACCTAATTGAAAGCATAGTCACAAGGTGTAAACTTTGTATGAGAGGAGATCACATATCCTATAAATGTCCTTTTTTTTCATTTTATGCTGTGTATTTCCACTTAATACATAATTCTGTATAAGTCTCCAGTAAGTCATTATCTGATAACTTACAAAAATTTAATATTGTTTTCATTTCTGTATATAATTATTGATTTTGTTTTATGCATAATTTGCTACTTTCATGCCGAATTTTGTGTCAATCAAAGCAGTATTTGTTGATTTTTTTTTTTTCATTTTACATCTTCATGCTTAACTTTTGGAAGTGAGTGTATAATCTCAAGTCACACTTTCGAGACATGAGAAATGGAATTTTAGTTTGGTGAAGTGGCCAAATTAATAAAGAAACAATACCAGATCACACTATTCCTTCAAACATATGGGCAAATTTGGAAAAGTTTTTAGTAACTTTTCATGGTTGACAAAAATTACATGTATCCACAAAATCCTCAATTCAGGAGATTACCAGCCATAGTCTGAAATGAAATTATTTGCATCATGACAAAAAAAATAAAGAAAAATAATTACCTGGCAAATAATGTCCCTGTTGGTAAAACGGACTATCATACGATACTTTGGAGTACTGTATTTATTTTTATCTTGAACAACTAATCTGACTCTGGCATAGTAATCAGTTCTGCCTTCTGAAAAATACATAGCCAAAAAAGAAGTGAGCAACAGAGAAAAGCAACGAATAGGCATGTAAATTATTTTAAAAAATTCGCTGTTCAGAAAAAAACTAACATTTCTCGCATCATGCAGTTATAATGTAAAACATGACATAATTAACTTTTGGAGTATCATTACCTTACATATGTAGCACACATTTAACGTACAATTCTCCGAGAGCACAGACATTAGGAAAAATGTTAAGGAATATTATATAAGTTTCCTCCAAGCTGCGAGCCTGTGCTTTTTTTGAAAGTTGTGAAACCCTTTTTGTATTCTGCACACAATTGGCTTATTTACCTTTCCCTCATTTCATAAAAGAACTGCATCTAAAAGTGGCAAAAATCCAAAATTTATATATAAAAAAGTGAAATTTAGAGGGTCATTTTTTTTTTTTTGAAATAGGGATTTAATCCAAGTATGCTGTATACAAGATTTGAAGAAATTTAGAGGGTCAATTTTTTTTTTTTTAATAGGGATTTAATCCAAGTATGCTGTATACAAGATTTGGTGAAATTCGGGAGGCAATAAAGTTGACATTCTGTATCAGTGGTTCTGGTGAGTTATTAATGAGTTTCTATGATTTAACTTCCTCGTACGAAGTAAAAAGAAGGTATTGTAGTCGCGAAAAGTTTCAGGCAGCATATTTCAACGAAAATATCCATTTTGACCACTATCAAACGCAATTTAACGATGTTTTTGCATGGCATCTGTACGTAAGGACAGAATAAAAGACTCTTTCCCTCCAAAAAAATTATAAAACTGCTATAAAATGAATTCTGAAGAGAATTTTTCGTGGCATCTATACGTACGTATGTGTCTTGCATAACTCAAAAACGAGTAGCCTCAGAATGTTGAAATTTTGTATATAGGTCTGCTATAACATGTAGATGTGCACCTCGTATTTTGGTTGCAATCGGCCGCACCAAACGTATATAAATATATATATCCACTTTGTTACCCGGCTTAGTGATCTCAGTTTCTTTACTCTTACATGTTTGTAAATTGTACATTTTTTGCTTTTAAATTGATTGAATTATTTTGTTCTTATCTTCTGGTTAAGTTTTTTATGCCTTTAGTAAATCTGCATGTAATATTTTTAGCATTATCAGCAATTTTAAAGTGTTTTAAGTACCGCTAAGCCTAATAATGTTCTTGATGGCGGCCATTGCTTGTTTACATTTGAAACAGCAGGATAGTGGATTTGTTGCCAATCTAGAGAAACTTAGCTTCGCAACAACAAAGATAACACCTTTATTTATTATTGTGAATTAAATCATGCTCAATCCTTTCTGGAATTTTTTCGAGGAAATAAGTGTTTAAGATTTACTTCCTAGTTTTTTCTTTCATACATCGTTCTAGCTTTATTATAGTATTTGAATAGAACATGTGGCAACGATTAGATAATTCTTTAAATTATATAAATTTTGTGCATTCTGAGTTATAATATGAACGAAATATAATACTGTTAAGTGAACCTAGCGCCAGAGTGTCGCTGTGGTAAACAAATAGAATGCATTTATTCTATTGTGGTTTATGCACTGTCGGTGAAGTAGATTTAATTCAATCCTTAAATGAAATGCAAGAAAAATTGCGTATAATTCAATATTCCGTACAAGGAAGTCATGTGGTGTACACATCAGATTTTTTAACCATAATGGTAATAATAATGGGTAACTGCTTTTTTTTTTTTTTTTTTTGTCAAGCTGTTGATTGTATAGCTATTTTGCATTGGTGAGCAGGAATGATTTGTTTTATCAATTTATATGGATTTTTATACAGTGCACATTGTTTAGCAAAACAGTGAATGTGAATGATTTTAGTGGATGCATAATGACTTTTTAGTCGTGATAGCATATTCTTTGCTTATGACACGAAATTGTTCGGAAACACGAAGGAAAACTTGCCGCGTTTCAATGGACAACAGATGCAAGCTTGCTACTGAAGTAAGTTTTTATTGTATTTGTTGTGAAGTATGCTAAAAATTATTTTCAGTTTCTAAATGATTGCTTTTGTTTCTATGTCTCACTGTACGCTTGCAGATTTAATCATTTTTAGACAATTTCCAAGCCGTACCACATGCTAGGATTTTACCAAAATCGGCATTTAACTCTTAAATGTCAAACGAAATCTCTTGATTACAGCAACTACATCATCGAACATTTGCTTGTTTTGCTTTAAGAGATAGGAGGTCATTGTGCGAGTTTTGTATACAGCACAATGTGTGTGGTCACATTGCAACGTTAAAGAGCATAATCATTATCCTTGTACACTTCTCTTGTTTTGTAATTTGTTTCTATGTTCAAATATCAAAGATTTAAACTTTTAAACAAAATATGTCTAAATGAAAATTAAATGATGATGAAAATATTAAATTAAAAAAAATTCTGCAGCTCATTTAAAATAGAATGGCTTTTACAGTTGGTAGAATGTGAAAACCCATTTTCAAATAAAAAAGAAAATATTCAATTGGAATATATTTTTAAATACAAGAAGAAAATGGTGTTTCATGTTTCTTCTATGCCAAAGCAAAAATTTCCAGTGAATTTAGTGCCAGATGAAAATTGGTAGTAGAGTTAATAATACATAACCAGAAATGTTGTATATGCCAAACACAATTGTATTGGTGTATTTAATTATAGCAAAGCACACTAGGGCTATCTGCCAAAGGGGAGGGATGCCTTTGTGGAGGACTTTCTAAGGGAAACGTTACACATGGGGAAAACCACGAAAACACCCATGCAGCCAGCCCGTCCGTGGGATTCGAACCGAACTACCAGTGTTCAGCGACTTTACCGCTCGGCCGCTGGTGAGCCTCTTTCGTTCCAAATGAAAGAGAAATTTAAAACAAATAGCAATGTTATAAAATCCACATGAAATAATCAAATGATGAACACTTAAGATGAATAGGTATTAAAACTCAGCAAATGATATGCAACAAACGATGAAACGCACTAAAATTACACTATAAGAAAAGCTTAATCAAATAATAAAAACCTGTTTCTTTCAACTACAGAAATAAATTATTATTGGCCTCTTTCCAAATTAAACGGTCAAGAAGAAAGTCACACTTGTTAAAATGTTTTAGTCTCAGTCTCTCTTTAAATCCAGACCCTTCACTAGCCTGTATCCTCAAAATACCAAGCCGCCCAAAATATTTTTCCAGTTTCACTGCAATTTCCTCCCCTCCCTGTCCATTAACGCAGAAAATAGGTTTTCGAACGACATCCTTATTACTTTCTAACAAAGATTACATTAGCCTTTAATCCTGTTCTTTATAAATCTACTCTGAAGGTCAGACCACAAAGCTTTTCTGGCTTTGTTATGATCCTGACCGAGATTTTGTTTACTTCCGTTATCTTTATACGAAGGAATAAATTGATTAAAAATAAATATAATTCTTTAACTTTTAATCTGCACTATTATTGCTGTTTAAAGCTTTAAAAGCACACTGTATTAAAAAGGAATCAACAGCAAAATGTCATGAGCAAGCAAAAGGTAAGAAACTTCTTAGGATAAGCTACCTGCAGTTAACTCATACAATGCATTAGGGAAAACTGCACCACATACTGCATACCTTAGGAGGGAAGAAAACAAGATTGCAATCTCGGCCGGTTCTGGCTGTCTCAATGCAAGGCCGTGTGGGGCGGATTGGTCATGAGTTAAAATTCGGGCACTCTATTAAAAATGATGCATAGATAGAATGCTATCACAGTAGGGACAAACTGGCTCCCTCTCTGCTTTGAGAAAAAGATTTCGCGTGATACGGGAGTGGCCGATTCAAATACGAGTCAAGAGTACTTTCAGTTTTGAGTACTTTCCCAAAATTGTACTCTAGGCTTCATGCTTCTTAGATTATTATATAATTGTGGTATAATTTTACTTCAGATTATTATTTTATAGAATAAAATATACTATTTTTCTGACTTATCACTGGCATTAGAGACAGCTCATATTCCCACATGATTTCTACTTAATATTTAAATATGCAAGAGTCATTTATCTGGCCATAACACACAGAAATTTCTCAATAAACCGTTCATTTGTTTAATCTAACCAAATGCCTTTTTCTAGTTACAGCTATTTGCTTAAGAGGGAAGCCCATTAACCAAGACTTAAATATGCAACAGTTTTACTGCTGAAAGACGACCTGTATCATACAACAGGGTTGTCACTCAAACAGGAATGAAATTCCCCAACTTTTCTATGTGAAAATTCCAGTCTGTTAGCGTAATGCGCGTTGGCTGTGCCAAGAAGCAAATTAATTATGGTACCACTTGAAAACACACAAATTTGTCAATTACATATATATATATAATCCCCAAAGCATTACTATTACAACAGTTTTCTCCACAGAAGATATGAGATTAGAATCTGCTCAATCTGGATTAAAAAATAGCCTTTTTTGCAGACCTTTTGCAGTTAAACGAAAGAAAAATGTTTAATGATATTTCAAAATAAATTCAGGTATTTTATATTTATTTAGCAGCATACATAAGCAAAAAATATTGCATAAAATTTCGTGATGATATGTTGTCATACTGTTAGAATTAAATTTTAGGAGTATGCCACAGAAAATTGCCTATGAAATTTGGAAGAATTATTAACTAATAATAAATAAATATAGAAGGAAGAAGCCACATTAAATGATACAAATTACATTAAATTACTTAAAGATTAAAAACTGAATTATAATAATCAACGATATTTTGGTGTTATTATAGTTATATTAAACAGTTAGCCTTGATGGCTGATTATTTTTTATTTTACTGCATTATGACAAAAAACCATTTATTAAAAAAAAAAAAAGGTTTCAAAGATTCTGTGACAAAATCCTAGTACATGGTACCTGCCACAATTTTGAAAAATGTCCCCAATGATCCCTTTAGTGCTCATCAAAGTTTCGCCAAATTCTGTGTGTACTGTACATTGGGATTAAAGCGATTTTTTTAATACGAAAATGGGAAGGTATTTTCTTTTGTTCAACATGTACTGCACATACAATGCGATTCCTTCGATTCTCAAGGCTACTTGGAAACAAAAGTTGTGGGAAAATTTGCTTTGCCTTTCTAAAAGACAATCTGATGGGAGCTGTGAAAATTGGCTTTATGCCAGCTACCAGAATGACCTAAGGTGATATATCATTCCCCAAGAAAGGGATAACTTCCAACGTTGGTGCAAAAGTCACTTTTTTGGGGATCATTGTACGAACTTCTCAGACTTTTCCCGGTAGCGTGGCAACCCCTCGTAATCAAGTTTATATTCTAATCTATGGCTGATCTTTGGAATATGGTAACTGGTAGTTTGGCGACATTTTGGAGGCGATAAAGGTTACTACCTAGGACTTTGGTAATAATGTGAGAAGCATTCAGTTCCGATTACGCATTATTTTGTGTGAGGGAAATGAGAGATCATGAGATATGTCATGTGACATTAATGGACGAATTACAGTTGTTTAATCGGAAAAGGGAGGAAATCTGGAAATTTCGTATTTAGCTATATTCTATGTTGTGTGAAACGTGACATCAATGGACGAATTATAGTTCTTTAATCGGAAAAGTGGGTTAATTTGGAAAAGTTTCATTGTGTGTTGTGTGAAATAGTGTTGATTAATTTTCGGATTACATGGCGCTATGTAAAGTAAATTCTAAATTTTTAATGCGTTTATCTGATAATAATAATAAGTTGAGATTGTGTGAAAGGAAGGATATTACAAGTTTAAATGGTGGTGCAAGAAATACGGTGAAAATGGGCATTTTGTGAAAAGGAGTGTAAGGAAGGGTACGTGGTTTGCCGAAAGTAGTGTGAGTATAGGTGAAATTTTATTAATTTCTTATTACTTGGTGAATAGACTTCCAGTTAACTATTGGATTTAAAAATTAGCAGTAGTACTGCAGTGACGTAATGAAGATTCTGAAGAAGATTAGGTAAGTTAGTATTTTTAATCATTTGAGGATATTATTTTTAAGCATTGTTCTAAATGTAAGGAGTAAATAAATTAAAATGGTACTATTTGAAAATTGTTATTAGCAATGATTTAGTTTAAAGTAATTAGGATTGTAATCTAATTTTGATAATTTTAAGTAGTGTTTTTTAATTTAATTATATTTTAATTTAACCCCTTAACTGCCGCGGGCGTATATATACGCCTTGCTCAGCCGATGCGTTAACTGCCCCAGGCGTATATATACGTCCTTCCAAACTGCTATCATTTGCTTTGCTCTGCTACACCTAAAATTATTCGCAAAGTTAACGCATCGGCTGCGCATCTGGGGCAGTTAACGCATCGGCTGAGCAAGCCATATATATACGCCCGCGGCAGTTAAGGGGTTAATGATCGTGATTTTGTGAGTTATATGTTTGAGTATTTTGGAATATGTTTGAGTATTTTCATGCATTTTCGAGAAATTTTTCTAATTTATGAGAAAAAAGCAGTGTACATGGATATAGTGAAGAGTGTGCGCAATGTCATTTTTGTGCAATTCTGGGATTTTTTTTTAAGTAAAAAGGAAGCACTTCCGCAGAGAACCCGGTAAATGTAAACATCGCCAACTTTGGCGATAATAGTTCAAACCTGGTAACCCGGCCGATTTATCGTATTCGCTTGTTTGAAGTTTGCAACCATTTCTCTTGCGTTCATTTTGTTGAAATATCACTGTTGTTGTTCGCATTTGCAGATTTACATTATTCTTCTCTTATTTATTACTTTTTTCTGAAATTTTTAACAACGAATAGATAGAAATATTTTCGTAGATAGATGCCGGTTCTCGGTTCGGGGATGAAAGGAAGAAAATACGGCGGGAGGAGTGAATGCTAATTTGTAACAACGGCTGTTCAACGTTGTGCTCTTAATTATTAATAGCTCTTAAGAACCATGAGCAGAATCATGAGGTTTCCAACCTCTAAAAATAATGTGTTTCCGTAGGCCGCAAAAATGTGCATGTGCATTTTAAATAATTAAATAATGCTTTTATTTTTATTATTGGTTATTGTCATCTAAAATTATGAGAATAAATCAATTTTTATGGCATAAAATTTTAACAAGATAATATCTTGTTAATGCTTTTTTAACAATAACCTTTCAGAGGATGGCAGGTGTGACATAAATAGATTAAATTGAAATAAAAAAATATTATTGATTATCTAAGATGACAGAATAGTTTAATGCTTCACCATGGTCATCAAAATTAGCAAACTACTGCTGATGTAAGGAATATATTGTTTTCTGTGTTAATTGGAATTTAAGACAAATTTTTTTCGTTTCTCACGTTTAATCGGTTAGTTTTACATCTACATGCTTATTATCTGTGAATTTTTACTACCACATGCTTGTTTTGTCTGCTAACTTGAATTTACATGCACTAAAAATCACGTTTACAAAATATCACATTTACGGCTCGGCTCATCATCGATGAACCGCGAGCTTGGCGAGTAAAAATGCAACGGCGCCAATGGATTCTCTGCGGATGAAAACCCAGTAAAAATAAGTCGACGTGTACATGGTTTAGTGATATTTTAATTAAATGATAGTTATTTTGTGAATTTTGTGTTTGTAGGAATTTGGTATATGTTTTAGTTGAAGTAAACATGCATGGAAATAATTTAAATATTTTGACACTAAGTATTTGTAATGTTTGCAGTATGAATTCGTTGGTAACGTTTATAATATAATAGATAATTTAGAGGTAAAAGTTTTTGGATATTTTATTTATTTTATACGTGGAAATGTTTATATTTGGAAAGGGTATATACTTTTTCACGATAAGGTAATTTCATATATGTTCTTTTTACCGGGTTTAACGATTCAGAAAATTGTCATGCATTTTCGTGAAATTTTTCTAATTTATGAGAAAAAAGCAGTGTACATGGATATAGTGAAGAGTGTGCGCAATGTCATTTTTGTGCAATTCTGGGATGTTTTTTTAAGTAAAAATAAGTCGACGTGTACATGGTTTATGTGTTATTGTGAAAAACGCGCACGGAGTTTGCGATTGTGCACTTTTTCCCAATTTTGCAGTGAATATTTGTCATGATTAAGCAGTTTTGTTAGATAAAATTTCTAGTATAAGTGTAATTTGGCTAGCAGATTGTTGCAAAAAATGTTCTGAGTTAAATAAAAAAAAAAAAAAAATACACGATCTTTACTTTGTGAAAGACAAAATGGCGTCGGCGGGGAAAACAAAACTAGCAGATTGTTGTAGCACGAGTTGGTCGCCTTAAAATCGCCAAGTTACCATAATCCAAAGATCAACCGCTATTTTTAGCATATGGAAAGAAATTTTAGGCAAATTTTTCCTTGTCAACATTTTTTGAGCACATTTAACTTAAATCTGTAGTCATCATCAAGCATAATGTCAACAAAAAAGGTTACCATACTCCTTTATTATTCAATTATTACCAACATAAAAAAAAAAAAAAATGTTTAGGCATTGCTACATGAGTCATTACTCAAGTTGCCATGTTTTGATAAACATACGTGAAGAAAAGAAAGTATAATAAATAATGATTTGCCAGGTTGGCGTCAGATCAACAATGTATCAATGTAGAATGTTTCGGTTTGAAATGTGTGCCAAAACGCAAGATATGCATCAATGGAGCCAAATTATTGATCGTACAAATTTATGCTAAAATGTTTCTTTCAATAACAAGGTATTTTATTTAATTATGATACTATTACACGCCAAACAAATACTAATTTAGAAGTTAAACAACAAAATTTGACTTTTAAATTAGTATTTTATTTAGTGTTGAAGTGAAATTAAGAACTGGTACTTTCCAGATGTTTTATTATGCGTGGAGGGGAGTATCAAATGTACATGCGTAAAAACTAGGAGAAAGTGTTGGTGGTGGTTTTGAGGTGCGGATTTCGGACTTTGTACTGTACTACAAAGTTAGCAGTTTGTGCCCCCTACTGCTTGCCAAGGATGGAAAACATTTAATTCTAAAATGTCGTAACATCAGTTTGTCACCCATTGGATTCTGCGCCCAGGGACAGGTGCCCCCCTCTAGCTACGCCCCTGTTAAATGCTGATCATTTAAATAATTTGATGAGGATTAAAATATGCTTAGCAAGTGAAAAAAATGTAGATTAAATTAAGCTTTCATTGCTTATCATTCATTCATTTTTATATTTCACTAAACCTATTACGAATAACATTTAGAAATTTAACGTTTATCGTAAAATGTTCAAACATAGTAGATCTTGTCCCTAAGAAGGAAGGAATTTAAACAAAGATATGAATAACATAAAAATCCTTTTTTGTTTGTGTTATTAAAATGTAATTTCGAAGAGCATTTATTAAAAAAAATGGTTTCAAACACAAGATCCCCACTTGCACACTACTACATACGCTTTGAACATTTTCGCTCCCATATACTTTCGTACCGCGCAGTCAGCGAAAAAATAAGAGGGAACATTAAATTTTATCCTAAACCTATCTTCAATTGGTAATCTTCTAAACACTCGTTACCACGAACTAAACACAACATAAGTGCATACTTTTTTAGAATTATACTATACATATATTCATATATATCTCCATACACATAAATGTAAATAATATGCAATAAATATTTACCTCGTCTCCTCCTGAATTTTACTTGAAATCTTTTGAAGTACGCTTTATTTTTGACAACTTTCACGAAACCCTAAAACGATTTTAATTTGTTATATAATTTTTCAAATAATAAACATATAAGACAAAATTATTTCAACTACATTTGTCTCTAAAAAAAAATAGTCTTTCTAACGTACACTTCACACTCATTCAGTAATATTATGTAATACATTAGTTCTGATCTCGTACTATCATAAAATAAAAAGAGTTAAAACAATGACTTTTACACTGTAAAACCATACTAGAAATTATAAATAATAAATGATGCAAGATACATAAGATGCACATGGGAAGGTTGTCTATTTTTCAATCTGCAAACATCACTTAAGAAAAGTCCATAACTTCACAAATATTCTATTGAATATTTCAATTACGTAATTTTATTAATAAATATATATTTTTTTCAGCATATATCTTACCATTTTAATTTTTTACTCCTCAGATAGCTTCGGCTAAGGGCGACCATATACGTAAACTTTAACCTCCACGCAAAATTATCACTTCTTTGCTATAACCATTGCCATGCAAACTTTGTCAAATAATTTGTCAGCTGTAGTTAGCGGTCTATTGAAGATTTAACACATCTTTTTGAAATTTAAAGCATTCAATAAAATTTATGTGTAACCTAATTAAATATAATTAATAGTATTTGGTAGGCAATTATTGATGTTCTACACTTTTTTGATGTATATGCTTGATGACTGGCACAATCGATAATGACTGGTTTACGTTAGTGGAACTTTAAAATTACGACACGCGCGTCTAAGAGCTTTTTTAATAGAATATGTTTCATGAGCTGAGGAATATTTCACACTTGAAATTATGAACTATATTATAATTTAGGTTGTTTGCTTTATGCAATATATGCACAGGTTTTCAATTTTATTTCGAAAAAGAGTACCGTTTTTCCTCTTTGGCGAAGTTGTCAAGCTTCTTGGACTCACTTATGTCAGTTTCACTTATGTAAACAGACCTTTAAACATCAGATACCTCAGGTTGCAAACTTTGGTAATTTTAAGTTACAGCAAATGATTAAACTTCTAATGAGAATATTCTTTCTTTTATCTACTCCGTTTTTCTCCTCAATAGTTTTAAGTTTTACCCTTTTATTGCACATGCTCTTTTTAAGCGCCAATTCTTTCTATGGTAATAAAAATAAGACAATAACTCGTATATAACGACACTGAACTTGTCACCCCCCCTTTTTTTGCCGCCGCTAGCGCGGACCTCATTCTCTTTTTCTGCCTCCAACACCTCCTTCCACTCTACCCTTTCTCCTCCCACCTGTTCTTATCAGAAGTTGAGTAAAAAGATGTTTCAACATCTTGACACTCGAGAATAAAATACGATCTGTGTACATTTGTTTTCGAATACTTATCAAGCACTAAATATTAACAAACTGATTTTATTTTTGCTTATATATACACCGATCATCTATTTTAAAAACTGCTTGTTTTGAAAAAAAAAAAAAAAAAAAAAAAAAAAAAATATTCAAAACGTTTTTGATTAAAAAAAACGGTGAAGTGTTTCAGATTTCAACGGTCAGGGCGAAAAGATTGTTTAAGTTTTTCCTGATCTCGCTGTGCTTGCCATCTACCAGTCAGCTCTTGCACTCAATCTTGCTAACCCCAAGTTTTTTTTTTTTTGTTTTGTCTTTCTAGCTTTGTTATTAAGCGTCGTTTTCTTCGCAGTCACGCCACATACAGTTCAACAACAAAACCAGAAATGTTTTTAAAGTAGTTTGGAATTATCAGCATATGTTTCGAATTCCCAAACTAGTGTTGACTGTTGGTATATATTTTTAGTCCAAAGGGGCCTGAGGGAGTTCGTTTTGGCATTTTGCATTGAAATCTTTAAAAGGTTGTATCACTTTTCAAACTGTTGCTACCAAATATTATCGCCTTGCATTATATTCGAAGAAATGGTACTTTTCCGTTTCGCCGGCGCAAATCTCGCCAAGCAGACTTTATTGGCGACAAAACACATTATGCACATAAAAAATGTAGACAAATGTTAGTTCCAAGAAATTTTATTTATTTAATGTCGTTTAAAGTTTTGTAAAAAAGCCAATAAATAAAGACAAGAAATTTGTAAAAGGACATTAATTTAAGAATTTACTAGGCTTTCATGGTAAAGCATCCTGATTCGAGGGTTCATATCACGTGACCCCTAGTGATCTCATCTCACGTAAACTACGCTACAAAAATATAATTCTCTCAGTAATTATCTACATTAATTTCAAATTAAATCTTAATTTGGAATACAAGTTTAAATGCAACGAATAGCTTACTCAGAAATTATGTAAAACCGCAGGGCTTTACTTCGCTAATGCATTCGCATTAGACTGAATTTAACTCTTGACTTTATCTTTTCTATATTTTCGACACTACGTGAGCGGTGTGATTGCATCCTAATTGACTTAATTACTGCCCGCGAATGGTCTTAGAGCATAAAATTGAACTATCTGGTAAAAATTCTATGTAACTGTATGCCAGTATTGAAAAAAAAAAAAAAAAAAAAAAAAAAAAAAAAAAAGGAAAAAAAAACTATCAATCTAATAAGAAATGGCTGGTACTTGTTTTGAAAATAAGCCGTAAAAGGTTATCAATGTGGATATTCCGTTCGACATCGGTTGTACCATTATTGGCGACTTTATCACCTGCGCCGGCAAAACGGAAAAGTACCAAAGAAATTAAATAATGAAGAATCTGCATAAATGTATATATGTTTCTCGCTTTGTGATAAAACAACGGGACGTAGAGCCATCAAATTTTGAATGACGTAATCTAATGCGAATATGGGAATCTGGAAGCCCAAATTTCAAATTTGGAATTTGCTCTGTTATCAATTTCATATTTTGTAAAACTTTAACGAAGTTCTGATTAACAAACTGAAGGATTTCAAAGCGAGTAATGGCAAAGTTGTACAGGTAAAAAAAAAAAAACATTTTTATCCCCAGGGCGCGAGATTGTGTATCGGAAATTCTAAAGGTATGCTCAATTTAAAATTATTTTGCGATAATGCTCTTGAATTGAGTTTTCTGTTTTAAGTGCGAAGAATATGACATTTAATAAATAAAGGTAACACACAAAATGGTAAAAAATGCCCCCTTGGACGTAATTTAAAATTTGAAATCTTTCAGATTTTCGTTTTATATATTTTTTAGTCTTTTATCAGATTATCACACCAATATTCAGTTTTCTTACTAAGATAGCTGAAATTTGCTTTTGTCTTTTTATTATTAGCTTTTTCTGCTTTAACTTTATTTATTAAATAACACATTCATCATACTTACACAACATAAATTAATTTCAACAGCAAAATCACAAAAGACTCCAGTTAGTGTAATTTTCCAGAAATATTGAATATTTCTAATTAGACATCTCATGATTTTAATATATGTTTATTTAAATTAATGCATTAAAAAGTACAAAATAATATTCTTAAAAACTGCGTTTATTGCTTCTAAATCGCTTATTTATTACTCCCTAAACCTCAAATTGAAAATGAAGGTATTTTACGCTTTACTGAATGGCAGCATGCTGGAGTGTGGAAGATAAAATTATTTCATTCATTTATTTATTTTTTTTATTTAACTTAGCTAAGGTTTGCTTCTTAAAGACACTAATTTTTGCAATGAACTCCTTAACTACACTCATTGACACAATCGTATTTTAGGATATTTTCTACTTCATTTCCTTTTCTTTCTATAGGCTCTTTTTTTTTCTTTTCCCCTCTATTATTTTTGGGCCATTTATTTTAAATTTTATTTTGTCCCATCTTTTCTTTCTGGCCTTTTGAACTCGTAAAAAATGTACGAAGTTCCTTTTTACTCTCCTCAAATCCGAAATTGCCCCCCTTTCTATATACCTTTCCTTCGCACCTATGCTTGATTTTTCGCCCATCGGTGCAGAAAGACTTAGCGGGTGCAAAACAAGACATCTGTCTACTTTGTCTGTCTGTCTGTCATTTCGAGAAGTGGTATTTTGTAAGTCCAGAAATATCTCAGCGGCCGGGATGAATCCATACAAGGCCGGAGAGCTCATCTGCCCTTATTTGTTGTTCAGAGTTATTAGTAAGGTGGAAGCTTGGAAAAGAGGTGACGTAATTAGCTGCCAGGGATTTTTTATAGCAGAGCGACTTCTGAGTTCTGAAAGTTTCGCATTTTAGATGCGATTTTCATTGAACTCTGTTTATCATTCTTAGTATTTGAAGTGTAACTACTGATTGTACTCTGTGATACTGTGCATACCTGTGTGAGTATTTCTGTGAAAAGTCTCTGTGTTTCTTTCGATAAAATAAGTTTTATCAACCTATCATCGAACCTGTGCGCATTCAATCTATTCAGAACTCATGCGCAAGCAAAAGTATTTATATACATGTATATATTTCATAATTTCGAAGCACAGTCGCAATGACTGGAACTCTCAACAGCTTTCGCACTCCGTCATGGCTGTGGTTAAGGTATACAGATGAAAATAATAAAACATGAATTTGAAGAATTTCATGTCTTTATTTTCACACATATCCAATTAATTTCGAAGACACTTACTCAATCATAATTAAATATGATAAATTTTTATGCACATTGATTCTTAAATTTAAGACGCAGGCAATTTAGACGGGAAAGCGAAGAGAGGAGTTATTAGTAAGATGGAAGCTAGGAAAAGAGGTGACGTAATTAGCTGCCAGGGGTTTTTATATCAGAGTAGGTGCGATTCTAGAAACAAGCTATGATTGGTCAATATTAGTTTTGATTACCTTTATCAGGTTCAATGTTCCGTCTTACTTTCTTTGGGAACATGCACAGACCTGACTCGGAACAGGGAGCTTACTAAAGCTATGTTCAATAAATGTGGAAAGTAGACAAGATGCACAGGAAGGGTATACGAAACCCTTTATTTTTCACTCTTTACAATAATTTCCGTACTTCGGAATACAGACACCAACTACTTGTGGTCTGAACGTAAGAATATAAAAATATAACTAAACTCTAACTTAAATTTGGAATAATCAACAAGGGCCTACGTGTAAGATTGGCCGGATATTAACAGGAAGCCGTATGTAGTACAGAGAACAGTTAACACTACAATACGTTTAAAATTATCACGAGGATTAAACCTCTGGCCTGGAAGGCAACTAGCAACTGAATAAAACTTCTAAGGTAAGCGGCCTGCTTCGACTAACTGCTTCCTCTCTCTCGCTTGGCAAAAAGCCACAACTTAAGTACTTGGCGTTCGCCAGACAAATTTTGCATAAATAAGTTAACGCTTTTAATTCTGGCCGGAAGTAGAAAATAAGAAGTGATAGTAAAGATTTAAAATAAAATAAACGTTAGTAAAACTTAAGATCCTTACATACTTCCCGCCAGAGTTAATTAGTTTGAAACTGAGGTCTAAAACGACTTTGTTGAAAACTTTTAGCTCTAGAATCTAACGCGAGGCCAATCTTTTACAAAAATTTCTCACTAGAAACTAGAAATTTAAAAAAAAATTTGTTTTTACAATA